AGGAAGTGTGTGAACCATCCGGCCCCGTCACCGCTGGGGTTTTCCCGCCGCAACTTCGGACCACCCCGCGGGGTCGGCCGGGGGAGGGCGGTGGTTCTGGGAGCGAGAGGGCAGGAAATCGACCTTCGGCCACCGCCTCCTCCCGGGGTGGTGCTGCGATACCACGCATGCGCGAGGGGGCTGGGAGGGTGGGGGCCGCTGAACCCGTCCGCCCCGAGCCTTGGTGTATTGAAGCGTCTCATCCAGGCTCCGCTGCATTCGGTGTATCCATCCCCTCCTCGAGGGTGGAGGCGCGTCTTCTGTTTCTCAGCTCTCGGAGAACACTTTACTGCCAGCCTCCGCCCTTACTGGCATCTTCTTTCTGGAAGGAAAGGTTCAGATCTGGTTAGGCTTCCAATAATGCAGTGGTTCTCAACCTTCTGGCCCTTTATTACAGTTCCTCCTGTTGTGACCCAACCATAAAATCATTTTCGTTGCTACTTCATAACTGTAATGTTGCTACGGTTATGAATCGTGATGTAAATATCTGATATGCAGGATGGTCTTAGGCGACCCCTGTGAAAGGGTCGTTCGACCGCCAAAGGGGTCGCGACCCACAGGTTGAGAACCGCTGCAATAATGGGTTATCAAAGCTGTAAAAACAGCTTTCCCGCCCGGCCGGCCTGGCTCAGAGGCTGAGCATCCACCTGTGAACCAGGAGGTCACGGTTCGATTCCCAGGCTGTGGGCTCGATCCCTAGTGTGAGGCATGCAGGAGGCAGCCAATCAATGCTTCTCTTTCATTGATGTTTCTATCTCTCCCTCTCCCTTCCTCTCTGAAATCAATAAAAATATATGTTTCAACACAAAACACCTTTCCTTTGTAAACTGTGAATAGTAGCGCCAGCCCAGAACTTGGCGAGGACCTGCTGAGATCTCACATAGAACAACAAACCCAAAGGGATTGAAATGTTGAGTCCCTTCTCCTTCCTTCCGGTTGAGCTTTTTATTCTCATGCTGCTCCTGTGATGTTTTCGGATTCCCGTAATCTCAGAAGCACACAGTGACCCTGGAGCCACGCCAGCGTCTCTCTCAGCGGGCAGAGTAGCCCGTATCCCGTCCAGCAGGGCACGTCTGCACCAGGCTGCAGGGCCCTGACTCCCCGCCCTTGTCCTCTGCGCCGGTTCCCTCTTTTCTTGAGGCTCACTTACTCTGCAGATGGTTAAGCCATGCCTGCTCCCAGGCTGAGAACAAAAGATTTGGACGACTTTTTGCGTGTCTGCGTAGTCCTGTGGAGCTGCTGACCTTGGCAGTGCGCTCCTATGTAGGGGATTCAGATCAAATCCTTCTGCACCGTGTTCAGACATCTTTTCTACCTTACCTTCCATTCTTACCTCTCCCTCACCCATGTCCTCTGTTCCTTGCACATACCCTGGACTTTGCCTCCTTCATGCTTCCGCACAGCCGTTTCCTCTCCCTGGAATGCCCCCTGCTCCCGGGCCAGCTTGTCAATGTGTTACCCATTCTGAAAAACCCAGTCACCATGCCAGGCCCTCCAGGAAACCTTTCTATAGATTCTATTAAGGGCAGCTCTTTGTCCTCAATAGAACCGATAATGCCCTTATCTTAGTTATCTGTGTGAACGTCTTCATTCCTCTCTAGGCTGTGAAGGCCGTTGGGATGGTGCCTTATCTATATACTAAGGGCCCGGTGCACAAAATTCATGCAAGAGTAGGCCTTCTTTCCCTCCGGCCACCGGCAGGAACCCGGGATACGGGTTTCCCTCGAAGCCTCAGCTTTGCCCGGAAGGTCGTCTGGAAGGACGTCCCGTCTAATTAGCCTAATTAGCATATTATGCTTTTATTATTATAGATGCCTCACAAGACAAGAAAACTCAGCATTTACTGAGCGCCCTGCTTAGAGAGCCCGTCTCATGGAGCTTATGTTCTTGCGGGGAGGAGGCAAACAGTTGGCAGTGAAAACGGTACCAGGTTTTAGGCTGGTGGCGTCAGACCGGACCTGGGTTCAGCAACCCCAGTACTTGAGTTCCGG